AAAAAAAAAAAGATAATTAAAACCAAATCTTCTATAGAGGCAAACATCAAAATTGAAAGGAAACAGCAAGAAGCATTAAATTAAAATGAAATAAAAATCAAACTTCATATATAACAAATACAATGGCTCCAATTTTCTTTTTTAAGGACAAAGCATAAAGTTGGGAGAGAAAACAGCAAAATGTCAAGTAGATATTAAGATTATAAATTAGTTTTGCTTTCTTCTTTATGCTTTTGGTACTGTTTTCTACCACAGAGTGTTATTTATTTATTTATTTTTTTGAGACAGATTCTCACTATGTCCCCCTTGGTAGAGTGCTGTGTCATCACAGCTCACAGCTACCTCAAACTCTTGGGCTTAAGCGATCGCTTGCCTCAACCTCCCAAGTAGCTGGGACTACTGGAGCCCACCACAGCACCCAGCTATTTTTTCTTGCAGTTGTCATTGTTGTTTAGCTGGCCTGGGCTGGGTTTGAACCTGCCAGCCTCAGTGTATGTGGCTGATGCCGGTAACCACTGTGCTATGGGCACCGAGCCCAGAATGTTCCTTTTTTTATGTAATAAAGAATTTGTCTCACATCCCTATCCCCAAATGTCTGGCCTTTGCCCTGGGCTTCTGGGAGGTTATCTCCATGTCCTTAGAATGCTATGCTTAATAGGAGTATCTTTAGCTGGGGCCTTGGGTCACACTGAATAATCTTAACAATATAAGTTGAGGTACAGCTGATCCCAAAGACATAGTTTCAGGATAGGAGCTGGTCACATGGAAGAAGTCTGGATCCTAAGGCTTAGCTGAGCTTCCCTGGTTGGCAATATTCCACATGTATTGTCACACATAGATTTCAAGAGAGTAACATGCCCTGACTCCATGGGAGAGAACAAGCTCTGCATCTGGCATTTCTCCTGGACTCTGCCCTATTTGCTTCTTCCCTTGGCTATTTTTATTTATATACTTATTTTTATTTATTTATTTTTTTTGAGACAGAGCCTCAAGCTATCTCCCTGGGTAGAGTGCTATGGCATCACAGCTCACAGCAACCTCCAACTCCTGGGCTCAAGTGAGTCTCCTGCCTCAGCCTCCCAAGTAGCTG